GAGATCGATCCCCCGAGAAGTCCGGCTGCGATCTTGCCGGGGTAAAACGACTTGTGCCATCTTTTGCTTCCTTCCTTGCCGACTTGAACGATATCATTTTCATCTTCTTTGAAGCGATGCGCAGAGGGCGTGTTGCTTCGATTCTCTCTGGGAAGAACGCTAACAATGAAGAACGACGATTCGTTTCGGGCGCTTCACCCGCGATCTGCTATAAATACCCGTCTTTCGTGGAGGCGTGCTCGAAACTCGGACAATTCGCCATACCTGCCGGATGATTCTGCTCTGATCTGAGTGGCTGGCACGCTGCTATCGCGCACTCGATAAACGCTCGTGAAGGCGGGCCGTTTTCTTCATCGAGTTTAATGGTCGACCATGCTGCGTAGGGACTGTGGATCTGAGAAAAGAGTGTAATACGAGCTAAGTACTAGTTGTTGTTGTAATGCACGTATCATTGTGCGTAATTCTTCCACCGATGGAGAGCCGTCTCTCTCGAAGTTGCTATTGTTTATGAAAGAAGTGCTGCGAGTGTCGTGAATACTGTACACTATAGTTATATGGAATATACGAATCGACTGCGAGATTTCAGTGCCTACGTTTTTGCAGAAGGAAAAGGATGTCACAAAAGACAACTTTTCGGTCGGCGTTTCGCCCCATTGACACAGTGTGTGGGACTGCATTGCGGGGTGGCCGCGGGTGGACATTCAGTTAATTTCGTGGCTGGATAGTTTAACAGCTGGCAATCGTTATGCACTTCATAAGCATGTATGCCCGCCTGCATTTCGGTCACGTGCCGCTATAGGTTGTTGGAGAATTTCAATTTAAGGTACGTTGCCACTGTTCTTTTTGATAATCTCTTATGTTTTGATGCTTTGTGTCTGTCTTCAGAAGGGCAGTTACAAACAAAAAAGATGAACCCTTCGGATTTGTTCTGTGCTAGATTCGCGCGACTCACGAACTTCGCCTATATCAACTAAAGTTGACGGGTACGAAGACAGTCGTCTAGATTTTGTAAATTCAGTGATTTAAGGAAATGCAGGCTAATTGTTTTTATGAAAATTTTTGAAATTCTCTCCAATGGATCTAGTCTCCCTTAGCACATAAACGTAGCTCTCGAACCCAGAAATCTCATGGGAATAAAGCAAACTTTCTCTGATTACGATATAATGACGCCCAGATTATATATGCGGAGTGATTTTAGCGAATACTCAAGCGTTCGGCTGCAATAAATGTTTTGAAGGTCGTCTCCCATTGAGTGACGCAGCCGTTTATTAGCGAACCCGACAGATGGCGGTGGTTGTACATGTCCAGAATTCTTGGACGTGTGAATGCAGGAATGACCCAAAAATGTGCTCATAATGGCAGCAGTCATAGCCGCCGATCCTACCGTATAAAAAAAAATAAAAGACATCACACGGCAGCATTTCCGGTATATATGTGGGCTGTACAATCACAAGGATCTTTCCATATTACTTCGACCGAATGGATTAGAGCCGTAATCATTTTCTCGTCCACCGATCTTAAAGTCTGCAGATTCCTAAATTATTACACATAAGCACCCTTTCGAGTAAAAGAAAAACTTCATTTGTAAAGGTGGCGATAACGATGCGCGTTTGCACAAATATAAGAGAGTTAAATATGAAAAAAATGGTAATTTGCGAACGTATAGTCTTACGCAGCCGAAAATTGGAGAGTGACGTCACTTAATTACTTGAAGGGGCAGCAATAAGGTTGGGTGGAGGCACTCGCTCGTCGCGATCTGTGCTCGTTACTATGAATGTTGGTGACGCGTAAGTTAGGGACTGGTTACCGCCGCTCAAAGGAAGGAAACGAGCGAGACGAGCCTGGCTATACCGTTTCCGTACCTGTGTGTCGCATTAAAGAGTGAGTGCTGCGTTGCACCGAGTTCGCCGGCGGCCGAACTCCGGGAATGCGACACTCGGTGCGGCCTGCGCCGACAGCGGGCCCCGCTTTTCTTATCGGCCACTTTCCGGTGCTTGGGCCTCGCAACGCGCGGACCTCCTCTCTTTATGAATATGGCATGCGCCCACGGCCATGGCCGCTTGGACGCGGGTGACTGCTATACCTGTCCCCCGTGGTGGCTGTATAAATTTTCAGCTCGAGATCCCGTCGTGCGGCTTTCAGCTATCGCATGCGGGGCAGCAGTAAAGTTTACGAACTCCATGGATCACTCTGAAATTTTGATGCGTCAGATGCAGGGCGCTTCTTTTACTTGGTCTTGCTTTTTCTCTCTTTGGAGTTCGAGAAGTGTTGTAGCGTTTACTTCACGCATCGAGGCGTTTTATATGAGCCGAACGTTTTTCGATAATATAATAGCAGTCTAGAGAGCGCACTGCCACTGATATATATATATATATATATATATATATATATGTGGGTGTGTGTGTGTGCGTGTGTGTGTGTGTGTGTGTTAGAGAGTGAATACTCGTTGACAAACAGCAACTGCTACGCTGATCGAAGCACTGCTTTCAGTTTTACTTTGTCGCAGTATTTTTTTTTCTTGACATTTGTGTTGATGACGACCCGTATTTAGGGGTACGTGATTGGACTGACATGTTAAAATAGACGCGCGAAGTGACAAGCGGAATACAAGTTGACTCGGCGCGCCTAGTATATACGCCAACTGTTTAGCATAAGTTTTGTTCAAAAGAGAGCGATCACTTTTCCTGCGCATTCGGCCACCCCACTAAAGACTAGCTCAAATGAACCCGGAAAAAACATGAAAACATGCCATCAAGGAGCAGCATATCGGGCAGACCCCAAGTGGGCGGTATTGCAGGATTCTACGAATACGCACGATGCGACTGCAGGAATCACTGCTAACTGAGTTTGCAATACCAACACACGGTAGCTACATATGAATGTCAAGTTACAGCTCATAATCATGAATCAAAACTAGCCTGGTGGTCTTATCTCATATGTATGGGTGTACGTTGTGGCCAAGAGGATCTGTGATTAAATATTTAGTTATTTATTCTAACTAGCCAACTTGCTGATGCGCAGGCATATAGTATTGTTGGCGAACGTGGGCGAATGATTTAACGCCGTATATACCTACTAAACGTATATTGTGCGAGCTTTTTCTCGCGTTTCTTTTTTAAGCTTGTGTCAAAGCCTTGTAAGCAAAGTGACATGTGCAGCTATCGTTACTGAAGCTAAAGTTTGTCTAATAAAATTCCTCGCATATTCGCGGATAATTTTTGTTATTAAAAAGAAAGTAGAAAGAAAGTAAGACTGCAGCATTTTTACACTACAAGAGCGTTTTGGCATGTGTTTTATTTAATACGCATGCAGCTGCAAAACGTGTGCCAACATTACAGATTCCCGAGGTACACGGATACATACTTCCATTGAAGCAAAAAAATAACTGCGTTGATGTCCTCTGTCTTTCCGAGTCCAGTTCGTATTCTCGGTCGTGATCGTGCACACCAGAGAATCGACCCAGCATATCCACTGTATCCAGAGCCTGCACTGGCGTTGTAAAAAAAATCGAGTTGTTAGTGGCCTCGTCTTCTCTCAGTAATGGGTTTCCTAGTTATGTGACGTTACATAATCTAGAAATTGATTATTCTCTCCCCCCCCCCCCCTGTCTGTAATATTAACCACGCGTATTTGTATGTATCACGCGTGCCTGACAATAAATTTTCGGCTGGTAGTTTGCGCCCGTTTCGTTTCCCGTCCTGGTCTATTGCGCAGTTGGTCGTCAGAATCGATTACCAATTTGCTCAGTGGTCCGTTCCTATACGTAAATTTTGAGGGCAATTCGGATTACTTTGTTATATCTAATGCTTCATTATAACGCGTGTCATGATGACTTGGTTTGACTGCTATATACCTTACAGTTTTCCATTTAGCGTTCCTTGTTTCTGCTTGTACTTTTAAATGGGGTGAAGTTTGCGGATGTTTCAATGTTTACAGTTAAGGTCCGCTGTGACGCGAGAATAAATTATTTGGTGATCGCTGGGCTCGCGGAGGAGGCAGCTCGTGGCGTCATGTGAACGCTCTAAAATTTCGGGGGGTAGGAAAGAGAACCGCGCGTATACTGTGTGTGAGCCTATGACAACGAAAGCGATTACCGAACCCGCGTGCCACCCTTGTCAAAACCAGTCGCCCGGGTGGGCCGAAGTTCGCATTGATTGATGCCCGCCCCAGCTTTGCGAGATGTGGCCTCACGTCAGCGCCCCAACTATATATGCTGGAGAGTGCGAGCGTCCGACCTCGTCTAGGCGATGGACACTGGATGCACTTTCGGTGGCCACAACTGCTCTACCTGAACTCTTTCGTCCACCGGGCCCAGCGGTTTTCGCGCCTGGCGTTCGTTCTTTCGTGTTTTTTTACTTTTTGTTTGCTTGATCGTTCTATCTGTCCGTGACGCGGCGAGGAGTAGAGGCATCCTTCCGGCGAAGAACCTCGGCGCGGGGCTTCTCCGTTCGACGCCGTGGCGGGCGACCCTGTAGACGTCGCGCCATCGTCGTCGCCGGTCTCCGCCGAGTAATGCAATTTGTCTCGAACCGTTGCCGGTTGCGATATGCCTTCGGTTGTTCGTTTTGCTTGCCTTTCCCTCATCCTTACTTTTTTTCCCCTTCCTGCATGGCGTGCGCGGGTGATCGCTTTTTTCGTTTTCTTTTCCCCGGCGCTGCTGTAGTTGTTGCGTCATTTTTCTTGCGCCTTCGCCGCGGCATTTTCACCATACGCCGCGCGCTTGTCCAGACGAGCTTCGTAGATGGACTGTCGCTGTCGTTCGAGGAAAAAAACTTGAGCGCACTATACATAAGCGCTACTGAGCGCAGAGGCGCCGCAGTTTTTTTTTTTTTCTCTTTCTCTCTCCATCTGCGCGCGCGGCTATACTGTTGCTGACCAAGTTTCGTGTCTCTCTCTCTCTCTTTGATCTCCCGCTCACATTTCGAAAGTGTTATTGTTTTTGCCCCGGCCGTCGACGTGAGTAACTTATATCGGTCGTTCCTGCTGTCTCCCCATTGCAGCTCGAAGCTGGCGACGTCATTGTCGAGGTCAACGACACCCCCGTGGTCAGCTTCACCACCAAAGAAGGTGAGTCGGATTTTATTCGTTGACCTCCTCTCTCTCTCTCTCCGTTCTTTCCTTAATTGCCTTGCACTTCAAAGTGGTGGCATGGTTCGAAAAGAAGCGAAGGCGATTTTGAAGACGCCACCATAAATCAGTTAAAGGAGTGCAAGTTTTTGGCGCTCGATAAAGGATTGAGGGCTGTCCATGGGTTTGTATAGCAAGCTGTCTCTTCCACCGCTTGAAGCGAGAGCTTGTTCCGTGCATGGCATTCCAGCTGTTTCGACTATTTCGGCCGAAGAGAGTTCTGCGTCTTATAATCTTTCTGAAGTGTGCCGAAAAGATCAGAACTGCAACCGAATAATAGCCTTGTATCTATGATTCTGGTGTGCGAAATGGCGAAAGTGTATAATGATAGCTTAGCAATGCGCCCTTGTTTTAGTTTTAAATCAGTGATAGAGCTCGTTTCGTAATATGGCGCATTATACCGCCTCTTTTAGAACTGTGTTCTCTTACAGGTATACTTCTCTCCATGCACCCAAGAATATAAATTGAGAAGTGTATGATATGCATTTTCGCAAGCACTGCCGCTTGGACTATATAAACAGTTATCACCTAAAAAGGCGGACCTGCGCTATATTTTGGAGGCTTAAAAAACGCGTTCGATATAATGAGGGGTTTTGTAAACCTAAGTTGCGCTTATTATCAAGCTCGAGCCTGTCCAATTCATGACGAGCTAAGAGGGCTGTCAGATTTCATTATCGTGTGTTTATAACCATCTCGGGAGAGGTTATATGCTGCATGTAATATATTGTGTATTGGTGCTCGGGAACCATAAGTGACGGTTTTACTCTTTTGATTTTCGATTTTAAGTGATTTGTTAGCGAACCTTGTGGCATATATATATATATATATATATATATATATATATTGTGTGTGTGTGTGTGTGTGTGTGTGTGTGTGTGTGTGTGTGTGTGTGTGTGTGTGTGTGTGGAATTCCGGCCGCGGCCGCCACTATGTTACGTCGCTTGCCTCCAAAAAAACTGTACGTTGTACCAATAAAGGCGCGTTACTTGAATTATACATCCTACATACAGCATAGCCGCTCACCGGCACCAGCTGCGTTCCCCCAAGTTAAGGCTATAAATACTCTTGGAACCGCTTAGGAACTGTATACGTCTCGCGTGGACCTGTGTATGTGTGCTGTTCTCCTTTATGCCATGATGTGCGTAATTGTTCAGTGACATATCGAAATGTTGATGCTCGCGGATAGGACTGTTATAACACGAGTGATTCGTAAGGCAGAATGATTGCGCGTAGTAGATTTTTCTTGTTAGCAATCCTTACTACCTACGTTAGCAACCATTACTGACGGCGTTAGTAACGGTGGAGGTAGTAACGGTTACTAACCTCACTTACTAACCAGTTAGTAACATATGTGACAAGCAGTTAGTAAACCGAACTTAGTAAATACTACAACCTTTTTTTAAAGAGTGTAGCGGTGGTGACGGCCGGCGGGTTGCACCTGTCGTGGCAGCGCAACGGCGTCATGGTTTCACAAGTGCTACCCAATATATTTACTTTAGCAGGTGATTTGAATGCTCGCTGTTATCTCAGAGACCGATCAGTGAGATAGACAGTGAAAGTTCTATTTTTGCAGACAATATGAAACGTCTTCTGCAGAACTGCATATGCAGGCATTGGCATACCGACGTACTTTTTGCTCTGCACGTAGTTTTAGCTGTCTTTGACATGGCATTTTCCTCACAATTCAATTTTAAATGCGCAATATTTCTTTGAAGTTCTCAAATTGCGAACTAATGCGCTTTGTGTATTTCTATCTATCGATCGTCGAACTGCCTACGCATACACCTGGTGCTGTAGTTGTCTTCTGCGTAACCTGGTACAAACCAATGTTACCGAATGAGTACGGGAGTTTATGATGAACTCGAGTGGCAGGTCACGAAATGTATAACGTGATATTCTTGTCCGTACGTCGTAAAATATCCTTTCCCTCAGTCACGTGTGGCCTATACCCGCATACCATGGGTATACCATGAAATGCTGGATATGTGTGCCGCACGCACGTTTGAAGAGCAGCATTAAATGCCTGTTTCTAGGAAAATTCCAGTGGATGCAAAGAATGAAAATTACGTTTACATCCGGAGTAACCTCTCACGAAGCCCCGCCGATGCCTGAAGACTCTGCGGAAAGGGATTTTAGCAGTGACGTAAGGATAATGTAGCTGCGGTGTTGGCTAACCGCTTTTATAGCAGTACAATAAGCATTGCACATACATTTCTGAAGCGTCGCATGTATTGCAAGTACCGCAGCATGCAGTTCATTCGTTAAAACTTGCGTATGTGCTTTAACGTGGGTAGCATTGTGAGATAAGATCGTGCGCTAGCCTTTTAGGCGCCAGTGAACTCCCCGTCTCTTGTGAGCCCTCGTTTTGATAAACTACTCAACTCAAATTCCTATATATATGCATCTCGTAACGCTGTGCTGAAAGCACGAATTCTAGCGTCGCATGAATTTAATTCGGGCCATGTGTGAGGTGCACCGAAATTTGTTCCCCTGAAAATTTTGAACGTCTGGTGTTCTTTAGCGTGCACCTATACATATTGCACAGAACATGGGCCTGTGGCAATTCGCTTCTATCGAAATGCGGCCGCCGGGGTCGGGATCCAGCCGAGGGCGGTGCCAGAGGTGGGCACGGGGGGACTGGAGTCTCCCCCCCCCCCCCCCATTTTTGCCTGCTCCACCATCGTCTCACCCCCCCCCCCCCCATCCCCAAGAGGGAACATATATAGACTCATAACACAATGACTAAGTTCCCGCCTCGCTGCCCTCCACTATATAAAGAAACTCGCTTATCTTGGGTGCCCCCCCCCCCTTCCACCGGTAAAACGATCCTGGCGCCGCCCCTGGGTCGGACCCGCGTCCTCCGGGTCGGCAACCGAGCACCGTCACACCACTGCGGCAATCTCGTTACATGTATTCCTGCTGCGTACGAGCCCGCAAAGTGAGCTCAATGATTAAAAACTAAATGCATGGGCTTGAAAAAAATGGGAAAAATATCATGCCTGCATATTATTTGCTAAAGAAACTTTAAAGCAAGGAAGAGCTTAGGGTCACCGATTACCTGTATAGAACTTGGATCCCACACTCATATTTTGGTAGCTGTTGCAATTTTATTACGAGCGGCAAGAAGTTCGCATTATGCTCGCGTGCAACTGTAAATCTTTCTAACTGCTGCAAGGCACCATGCGTAAAAAGAGAGAACATGTTTTGTGTCGTTACGTAAAAGAAATCATGCGAAGAAAGGTCGCCTCCCTATTAAGAGCTCTTTCGGAGCCATTACAACTGCAAGAGTAGGCGCAAAACATCAATAGAGGTTGTTATGTGTACATTAATTCCATTTCACCATTTACTTACATTATTTTTAATTAATAATTTTTGTTTGATATTCGCGTTTCTTTTCCTTGCACTGCTTACTCACAGTCTGCGCCAAAATGTCTGTCCTTGCATCTTCTTTTACTTTTTTGAGTTTGAGTTCATAATGCCAACACTATAACGGTAAGCCAGTATTCTTATCATTGTACTCATAAATAGTTGTATGAAAAATAATGTTATTGAACTGGAACTGGAAGTCAATCTACATCCATGTTTTGTGTATGCCGCATTTATGCGGCACCATGAAGGCGCTAACCTGCCCGCATAGTCTTCAGACTTCATTTTTCCTCGTTTACAATTTACCAGCGCCATGTGGGCGAACACAACGCGCTTATACCGCAACCATGATGTAAGAATATTTTTTCGCACCGTGACCGAAACCTCGATATTTGGTTTAAACGCGAGGAACTCGTCAGGGCGCTGATTGACGCGCGCGCGAACGGAGCGCGCCAGCGAACGGCTGCGCCCTCTGGGGGCTGTATCGTAAAATCTTTCAGCCACGCCGCCTCGTTCACGATACTAGGAAAGCCTTTGTGCCACCATAGTCGCGTGCTTTCCGTTTAGCGCGCCGTCCAAACGAGGGCGCTACAACGTCGACGGCCGTAGAGTGCCTCGATGCGCGCGCCCCCGCTTAGAGTGGTGTCAGCTTTTGCAAGGGCAGATGCCGCCGCCTCGGCTTCGGCGCCAGCGCGACCGCCATTTTGGCGCCTCCGGCCGGTAGTTCGTGCTTGGCGTGTGAGGTGTTGTTGGGCAGTGTTCATTCCCTTACAGTTTTATGCACCCATCTCCGCATCACCATGCCCGGCTGCTGCGTGCCGCAGTGCTCGAATCACTCGAGAAACGGATGGAAGTTGTACCGGTTTCCAAGAGACCCAAAAAGAAGGCTTCTTTGGACCGTTAAAATCAAACGAGACAAGTGGCAACCGACTGATACGTCGCACGTATGCAGCGTAAGTAAACATTTTTTTTTTTTTAGTGCGTCGTATTCTGACTGGTCAGCATTATTTAGGGCGCCGTTGTTTTTTATTTAGGTGCGCAATGTAAACGCAGGACAGCCAAACGTCGTGCAGGGTACTGTGCGGCGTGCTCGTGTTAAAAGATCACGCTTTAAGAAAATGCGTCAAGTACGGGGGCTTTGGAAGCCCCCGTGTCGATAACATTTCATGCTGGTTCAAGGGCCTCGAGTGTGCTACTACATTCATAGGAATTGCGACTAGTTTCAGTGCCCTTGCACGGGAAAGTGTTGCCTTGGCCGCAGCGTTGTGAAATCCTTCCCACCCCCTACCCGAGGCTGTTAATTTCGTGCACTGCGCTTCGCAGCTATTTTGCTCGCGAGACCGGCTGCCACTGTCGTGACCGTCCGCCTCGCAGCCCGAAGACAGACTTCGTGAAATTGCCGTACTCGCTCGCCAACTCGCCCCGACAGCGTACGCGTCGACCGGGTGCTGGCGGAGTTGAGCTGAACGAAAAGTAGGCAAGAGATGGGGACGCAGGAGGTGTAGTTAAACAGATGAGAATTTAGAAAGTGGAGGAGGGAGAAAATTATATGCAAGGGCAGAAAACGGGGAGTG